GGGGAAGAAACTCAGGGAGCTGAAGGCCCAAGTGGCCTTCTCGTCAATCTTACCTGTCCGGGGATTTGGGCCAGGAAGGGACAGGAGGGCCTCTGAGGTGAACGACTGGCTTAGGGTGTGGTGCCAGAAGGAACGCTTCGGGTTCCTCAACCACGGCACTCGTTTTCTTGCCAATGGACTTCTGGCAAGGGACGGGTTACACCTCACGAGGATGGGGGAAAGGTCCTTTGGAGATGCTCTAGCGAGCTTCGTCTGGAAGACTTTAAACTGAGCCGGGGGTGGGGTGGGTTCATGCCCCCCAGGAACGTGTCTGCACTGGACAAGTGTGGGGAGAGGATCGGGGCTCTGGGAGCAGGGTTTTAGAGATACTGCAGGGACTGACAGGACTCCTACAGAGAGGCTCCAGGTATTAGGGAGGATGAGAGGAAGGAGGAGCCTGGGAACTCCAAGGAAAGGAAGCAGTGGGAAGGAGTTGAGGTGCATGTACACCAATGCTAGGAGCATGGGTAATAAGCAGGAAGAGCTTGAAGCTCTCCTGGGAATAGGAGGGTATGACCTGGTGGGAATCACAGAAACTTGGTGGGATGAAAGGCAAGTCTGGAATGTGAACATAGAAGGGTATCACCTTTTTAGAAAGGACAGGAAGGGAAAGAGAGGTGGGGGCGTGGCTTTATATGTCAGGGAAGGGATAGGATGCAGTGAGATAGAATGCAGCACAGATGGGGATTCGGTAGAGGCAGTCTGGGTGAAACTTAGGGGTTTTGACAGGGAAAGAGACCTGACAGCGGGGGTATGTTATCGCCCTCCAGGTCAACTTGAGACCCTGGATGATGTCCTGACAGGCCAGATTCTAAGGATATCTTGGGGGAGAGACACAGTAATTATGGGAGATTTCAGTCTCCCAGATATTACTTGGGAGACTCACTCGGCGGTGACAGCCAGGTCACGTCGCTTCCTAGAAGCTATTGAGGGAGCGTTTTTCACACAGAGGGTCCGAGAGGCGACGAGGGGGGGAAACATCCTTGACTTGGTCTTGACCAATAGGGAGGAGCTGATAGATGAAGTACAGATTAGGGGAGCTCTGGATGCGAGTGATCACTCCATCCTTTGCTTTGAGATCAGGGGACTGGGGACGTGCAGCAGGTCGAGCACTAGAAGCTGTGACTTCAAGAGGGCCAACTTTGGCCAACTGAAGGCCAGACTGGGGAAAGTCTCCTGGGATGGGTTACTGGAAGGCAAGCGAGTTGAGGAGGGGTGGATGGCACTCAAAAGGGAGGTTTTGGAGGCTCAAGCCTTGACAATACCTCTAGTCAGTAAGGTGGGGAGGCGGAGAAGAGTGCCACCATGGATGCGAAAGGAGGTGGTTAGAGGGATTAGACGAAAGAGGAACCTCCATAGGAAATGGGTACTGGGGGAAATAGACAAAAGTGTATACCGGGAGGAGGAGGCCCATTGCAGAAGGATTCTTTGCAAGGCTAAAGCTGATTACGAGCTGAGACTTGCCAAGAATATCAAGAGCAACAAAAAGGGCTTCGCTGATTACGAGCTGAGACTTGCCAAGAATATCAAGAGCAACAAAAAGGGCTTCTTTCAGCATGTAAATAGGAATAGGAAGGAGAGACAAGTGGTGGGACCACTAAATAAGGAGGAAGGGGATCCAGTGACTGATATGAGGGAACAGGCACAGATGCTAAATGACTATTTTGCCTCTGTGTTCTCCCCAAACCAGGACGGGGGATATCCGCATAGGAGATTAGATGAGGCTGGGGACTTAGGGGCACAGATTAGAGTCACCCCCTTGAAGTCGAGGGGCTCCTCAGGGCATTGCATATTACAAAGGCGCCAGGCCCTGACGGGTTACACCCGAGAGTACTTAGGGAGTTGGCAGGGGTTCTCTCATGCCTGCTGGCCTCCATTTTTGAGATCTCGTGGAGAATGGGTGAAGTTCCAGAGGACTGGAGGGTGGCATCAGTGGTCCCAATTTTCAAAAAGGGTAGTAGAAAGGACATGGGGAATTATAGACCGATTAGCCTTACGTCCATTGTAGAAAAAAACAATGGAAAGGCTCATAATAGAGAGTGATCTAGTGATGCTAGATAGGGAAGGGAGGCCGACAGCCACACAACACGGCTTCCACAAAAACAGGTCCTGCCAGACAAACCTTGTGGAATTCTATGACAAGGTTTCGAGATGGCGGCTAGATGGAGGGGATGCAGTGGATGTGGTATACCTGGATTTCAGCAAGGCCTTTGACAAAGTGCCCCATGATATCCTGGTGGAGAAACTGAGGAGTTTTGTCCGGTGAATTAGGGCACGGTTTACTGACCGAAAGCAGAAGGTAACCATTAGCGGGGAATCATCGGGATGGCGGCCAGTGACAAGCAGGATCCCCCAGGGCTCTGTCCTGGGGCTGATCCTGTTTAAGCTTTTCATCAATGACATAGAAGAAGGGGTGAACCGTCTGCTGATCAGATTCGCAGATGACACTAAAACTGGAGCAGTGGCCACAACTGAGGAGCAGGTACTCCAGATCCAAAAGGATCCGGACAGACTATGGAAGTGGGCAGGAGACAACAGGATGGCATTCAATGTGGATAAGTGCAAGGTCTTGCACTTGGGGCATAGGAATAGCTGTCATAAGTACAGGTTAGGGGATAAGTGGCTGGAGAGCAGCACTTGTGAAAGGGACCCCGAGGTGCTGGTTGACTGCAGGCTGAACATGAGTCAGCCGTGTGATGCGTTGGTCAAGAGGGCGAACGCCACCCTTGACTGCATAGCCAGAAGTGTGGCTTCTAGATCAAGAGAGGTATTACTACCACTCTACACGACTCTAGTGCGCCCACGACCGGAGTATTGTGTTCAGTTTTGGGCCCCTCATTACAGAAAGGATACAGCCAGGTTGGAGTCAGTGCAGCGTAGGGCCACAAGGCTGGTGGCCAGTTTGCAGGGGATGCTGTATGAGGCAAGACTGAGGGAATTGGGTCTCTTCAGCCTGGAGAAGAGGAGACTCAGAGGGGATATGTTGGCGACATACAGGTATGTGAGGGGATGTCACATGGAGATGGGTAGAGACCTGTTCTCCCCTGCAGAGGAAGGCAGAACGCGCTCCAGCGGAGCAAAGCTCAGGGAGCCAAGGTTTCGTTTGGATGCCAGGAAGCACTTCCTGACAGTCAGGACCCCGAGGGTGTGGAATGGGCTTCCACGAGAGGTCGTTGGGGCCCCATCGGTGCACGTGTTCAAGGATAGGCTGGATGTTCACATGGTGGGCATGTCGTGAGTGGAGCCGGCTGGTGCCGGAGGTCAGACTAGATGGCCCTGGAGGTCCCTTCTGACTCGGTCTGTTTTCTATGTTTCTAAAATTGTAGATATGAAAGTCTGCGAAATGTAGTTTTCTACAGGAGATCCATCACAATGTCAGCGTGTTCAATGCCTGTTTTTTTTAATTGATTCAGGACAGTTTAAGAGCATTTTAAAGGCACAGCTGAGAAAACTCCTTAGATACTCTGCCTGATGGCAGATGCTGTGCAGCTTGACAGCTAATGTGGTTTTTTGACCAGAAGTTGGTCCAGTGGAAGAACTTTGTTAGACTAGTGTGGTTATGTTCCAGGCAAGCCTGTCATCCTGTTTGTCAAAAACATTCGTTTAAGTGGATGTAACTTCCTGTCCTTTTCTAGAAAGCTCATCGACGTGGCTTATACACCCTTCCACGCTGTCCTGAAATGTGGCCACCTCTCCTCGGATGTGCAAGCATTTCCAAGGCCTGAACCTTTTGTTATTGATGAGGAAATCGATCCAATCCCCAAAACAATTAATACAGGTAACCCATTGCTGCAGCTTCTGTGTGTCACAGACTTTGGTTTGTGCCCCCCTCCTGTCCCCTTTCTTCCTCTGGCTTTAAGCATTCTAGTGCGCTGTCACTGTTGGTGCGTGCCGATAAAGCGAGGCCATGAGCGGATGTCTGTCTAGCTTGTTTCATCCAGTGGCCAGTGAGATGCCGTGAAGTCCACAGGCAAACCAGGAAGGCAGTGATGCCTTTTCTCAGCAGGCAGCATTTCGTCACCCTCTGACTCTGAATGTGCCTCCGTCCTTCTGAGAGCTGCCCTTGCAGCACCTTCCCACAGCAACATGTCAAATCCGCCATCCCCACACCTCATGACAGGGCTTTTCTTGTCTTGGTCCTGGCGCTGCAGCCCAGGGGCCGCCCACTGCGTAGGGGCCGAGGACAGACCCAGCAAGCCAATGGTCCCACAGGAGCTCCCGGGCTCTGCAGGTTGGGCCGGGGAGGATCCTACCGGAGGCCCTGGAGACTGTTTGCTCCTGGCCAGGGTTGATCAGACTGGGCTAGGTGGACTCTGGATAAGGCTGCTCCTGGTGTCCTGCCCGTCAAATTTGTTGTGCAGCCTTGAGTTCTGTAAGGCCAAGAGGAAAACCTTGCACCTTGCTTTATTCTGTAACCCTCTTAAACCCACCCCCAACATAACTGAGAGAGTATCAGAGACTGTTAGCAAGAATCGCCACCCAGCAACTGGGCCGGGGCCTTCCCACACACTTTCCAGGCTGGTTGCCCTGAGTGGGCAAGTGAACAACAGTACTGGCCCAGTGCCACCAAGGCCTGATGGTGCACGGGGTGCTTGGGCTAAGGGTGAAGTAGGCTTTGCTGTGAAGCACACCCTGGGCATGGAGAGCATGCCTAGCCTAGTATTTGCTCCTGAGGACTAGCCACTTGGCTTGCATTCTCCAGTGGGGCTCTGGCTCGGGGACATGTGTGACGTGCCGTTCCTGCTTAGGAGTGGTGTGAAAAGAGTCCTTTGCTGGGTATTCACCCAACGGCCTTGCTCTCTTTCTTTTTGCTGTTTTGCATTCCAGATTTGGAAATAGTTGGGTTTATCGACATAGCGGATATCTCGAGCCCCCCTGTCCTCTCTCGGCACCTGGTATTGCCCATTGCCCTCAACAAAGGTGAGCCCTTCCACTCTCCCCATCCCCGGCAACCGGCAACCCAATAAGGGTGAGCCTCTTCTGATGGTGTTCTGCCCTCTTTCTTCCTAGAAGGTGATGAGGTGGGCCCAGGGATCGCTGACGACGTTGAAGATGAGAATTCGGCTAACCAGATCGCGGGGAAGGTCCCCAACTTCTGTGTGTTGCTGCACGGCAGTCTGAAGGTGGAAGGCATGGTGGCCATTGTGCAGTTAGGGTACGGAAGGCAGCGTTTGTGGGCGTGGGCAGAGAGGAGGAGCTGCTGTCTAGAAGCACCTGGATTTTGCCCCCAGATTCAGAGTCGGTGCATTGAGTACTGGAGGGTTCCATTGCGGACAGGAAACATGAGGTTTAGTTCTCAGCACATCCACTCGTGTTTTCCTGGAACTGTTTGAACAGGAGGCGTCTGCAGCGAAGGGCAGGTCTTAGAATGGAGACTGAACATTTTAGGGATGGGCAGGAGAGGAGGTTCTTCCCAGGCTGTGTGTTTTGCAACAAGAAAGAGGTGCCTCCTCCCGGTGGGCCAGGTGCTTCCCTGCTGCTCTCACAGTGGGTGTTTTCCTTTCAGTCCGGAGTGGTACGGGATGCTGTACTCGCAAGCTGACAGCAAGAAGAAGTCCAACCTAATGATGTCGCTCTTCGAGCCAGGAGCAGAGCCACTCCCATGGCTGGGGAAGATGGCCCAGCTCGGCCCCATCTCAGGTGCCCCCTCCCTGGTTGAGCCTTGCTAATCCCCTCGCCGCCCAGCAGCGGCCCCTCCCGGGTGTAGATGCTGCGACTTGTGCCGGCACTGCACGTGGGCCCCCTTTACGCTCGCGGCGCTGCCGCACATCGCTCAGAGTGGCGATGTTTTGGCACAGGAGCTCTGGCTTTGGGGCACGCGGGCCCATTCAGTGAGCCGCCTGCCACTCTGCCAGGTCCCCTTTGCCTGTGTGTGGCCCTCGCTGCAGTGCCTGTGGAAGGCTTGGGTGGCTGCGCAGGCGTCCATCCCCACGTGCCATTTGAACCTCTGCGGATTTTGCACACCCTCCCCCTTGCTTTTTCTTTTCATGGTTTGCACTCCCCTGATCCTTCAGAAAATGCTCCAAAATCTTGGGAAGCCGGGCATGTTTGACTGGTGTCAAGGAAACAAATGCGCCACTTTAATTCGGATCGTCAGTGGAGAACTTCTCTTCTGTTAAAGAAATAAGAGCCTGCCTGTGTGTGTGGGGGGGGGGGGTGTAAGAGATTCCCAGTATAGGTCTTACATTTTGAGCATCCATTTTTTCCAGATGCGAAAGAGAACCCATATGGTGAAGATGACAACAAAAGCCCCTTTCCCTTGCAGCCCAAGAATAAACGCAGTTATGCACAGAATGTAACGGTGTGGATTAAACCAAATGGCCTCCAGGTGAGCAGGGGGGTTAGAAACAGCAAGTCCGAAGGGTCTCATGGGTCATCTAGTCTGACCCCGGGCACAAGCTGGCTCCACTCATGTATTACCCAACATGTTTAGTTCGAAGTCTGTAGAAGGGCCCCCCTTCTAGCACAAATAGTTGTGCACGTGAACAGTAAGGCCACCGTGGCAGTGGCTTTCAGATTCTCTGTGTGGGAGGGAGCTCTCGGGCTTTTCCTCAGCTTACCAGAAGATCTTCAGTGGAAAGATCCGTGAAGATGAGAAAGCTTTTCCGAACACCTGTGGGGCCATCTCCCCTCCACTGCACAGCCAGTGCAGCGGGTGGAGTGGCGGCAGTGAAGCGGGGGATGTCTTGAGGTGCACGTGTGATTTAGGTGGAGCAACAGGCACGAACGGACTCCGCACCCTGGAGTGCAGCGTGGCACTTTCTGCAACGCGCAGGGGTCCTCGGCAGAAGAACGGGTGTGGGGAGGGTCACGTCAAGGTGGAAGGTCCACAGTGCCTTGGGAACCGAGTCTTTTCTGCTCCACAGTCATGCGTCCCGTTGCTGGAATTGTACCGGCAGGATCCTCGCCACCTCACACAGAGGTCTCTGGGATGCTGCTCTTTCCTGGGCTGGCCAAAGGGCAAGCCCTGGCTAGCAAGCTTTAGGCCTTGCCTGACCGCCTCCCGTGGAGCTGTCCCTGGTTAGAGAGGGAAGAGTCCAGTGTGGCCACTGTGCCTTGGGCGAGCGTTGGCCCAGCCCGGCCAGTGAACTTAGGCAGGGTGTACTCCCCTCCCTCCCTCCCTCAGTCCTTCAAGCCATATGAGAGGAGCGAGGATCCTTCAAAGGTTTCCACTGGTGCGAATGGGGTGGCTTGCTCTGAGCAGGGCCTCCTGGCCCCATCGCATTGCAAGAGCTGGCTCCGGGGAAGCTGTGCAAGTCCTGGGCCAGTGTCTGGACTCAGCGACGGGCAGGATGAGGGCCGGTGAGCGGGCGGTGCAGACGCTCTGTGGTTCCCCTTCCTGGAAGAGAGGCTCTTTGCCTCTTCCGGGTGGGGTCCCAGTCCTCAAAGATGAGGTTTGTCATCTGGGGCACTCCCAGGTCCACTGGCGGAGTGGCTGTGGCAGCCCAGGTGGCCTTTGATCATCTCCGGTTGGATCGCCAGCAACAGCACCTCCTGGACAAGGGTGAATCAGTGCGTCGCGATACAGGCACTGGTGCCCTCAAGACTGGGCCACTGCAGGATGCGGGGAGCTGAAGCTAGTGTCGGAGGCGGCAGCTCAGCTCAGCTCAGCTCAGCCTGCAGCTCCCTTGCCAATGGAACTGCACTGGCTACTGGTCCCCTGCTGGGCCAGGTTTAAGGTTTCAGGTGTCGTGTACAAAGCCCTGGAGAACGGCACTGAGGATACCCGAGAGAGCTCTTTCCCTCGTAGCAACCTTCCTGGACGTCGTCCTGGTCCATGGCCCAGCTGGGGTTCACCAAGCAACGAGCCTTTCGCATGGTAGCCCCAGTTGTCTGTCTCGGAAGCCCGAGCAACCGGCAGCGCTGTGCTGTTCGCAGCACCTGCTGAGGACAGTCTTGTTCCAAAAGGCCTTTCTTGTTGATCAGCCCCACTGTTAATATTATCTGCTTGCTTTTAATGTAAGTTTATTCAATTGCTTTAGTTTTGTGCTGTTTCCTGCTGTGGAATTGACTTAGATAGGGCATGGCTTGCAAAGGTGTTAATAGATGAAATGCCCCAGCTCTGGTTTGTCTTCTGGTGCAGTTAATGTGGTGTGCTATTTAAAGCCGAAGATGGGGAGGCGGGGTCTCTTCCCCCTCAAGAATGCTACCGTGGTGGGGGCACATGCCAAGTTGACTCTACAAGCCAGATAGAGTTTCCCCTGTTCTTTTTACAGACAGATGTACAGAAGATACTTAGGAATGCAAGAAAACTTCCAGAAAAAACACAGACCTTCTACAAGGTGAGCAGAGGTTCTCACGGCACTTTGAAGTGGGCAGCATTGGCTCAGAAGATGCACCATTCTGGGGGGAGGCTTGTTCTGTGGTTTAAGAATAGACTGGTGAAGTCATACAAGCACCCCCCCCCCGCCCCCCGCTGCCCTCTCTCTTGGTCTTTTCCAAATATAAAGCACTCCGCTGGTGTTTCAGAAACATAGAAACAGAGCGAGTCAGCAGGGGCCTCCCAGGCCATCTAGGCTGACCTCCGGCACCAGCCGGCTCCGCTCACGACATGCCCACCATGTGCACGGCCAGCCTATCCTTGAACACCCGCACTGATGGGGCCTCAACGACCTCTTGTGGAAGCCCATTCCACACCCTCGGGGTCCTGACTGTCAGGAAGTGCTTCCTGGCATCTAAATGACTTTCTAAACTTGACTTTGATTTTGTTCATTAATTATTGATTTATTAGTTGTTGTTTGTTTAATCACTAAGTCATGCCCGACCCCTCACGACCCCATGGACAACATTCCTCCAGGCTCTCCTGTCCTCCACCATCCCCCGGAGTCCCCCCAAGCCCACCCCCACCACCCCAGTCACCCCATCTAGCCACCTCATCCTCTGCTGTCCCCTTCTCCTTTTGCCTTCCATTGTTCCCAGCATCGGGGCCTTATCCAGTGAGTTTATTAGATTTATTTCCCGCTTTCCCCCCCAATGAATTCAAAGCAGCTCACATCATTCTCTTCTCCTGCTCAGTCTTATCCCCACAATAACCACCCTGTGAGGTAGGTTGGGCTGAGAGTCTGTGACTGGCCCAGAGTCACCCAGTGGGCCCCATGGCTGAGCGGGGACTCGAGCCCAGCTCTCCCGGGTCCCAGCCCCCTGCTCTTCACCGCTGCGCCACGCTGGCTCCCACCTCCTTTCTGCTCTTTCCCACTGGGACTGCAGGCGACAATGAGAGCGCCTGCTCTCCACCCAGAGCTGCTTGCAGGGCTTTGCTCTCCTCTTCCCCTTCCAGGAGCTGAATCGCCTGCGGAAAGCGGCCCTGGCCTTTGGCTTTCTGGACCTGTTGAAGGGGGTGGCGGATATCCTCGAGAGGGAGTGCACGCTGCTCCCGGACACGGCACACCCGGACGCAGCCTTCCAGCTCACCCACGCTGCCCAGCAGCTCAAGATGGCAAGCACGGGCACCTCAGAGTACGCCACCTACGACCACAACATCACGCCCCTGCAGACGGACTTCTCTGGCAGCGGCACCGAGCGGATGTGACGGCCCTCTCTGGGCCAGACCCTCCCGCGGAGATCTGTGGGTCCGCCCTCCTCAGCAGGTGCAGTCTCTTATTCTTGCTTTCCTTCCTTGCTCAGTGCAGGTTGGACTGGACTTTGTTATTAAATTTATTACTTTTTTATCCCACTTTCTTCTGCACGCCAATCACAAAAAGCAAAAGCCAACATAGTTTCCGGAACAGTTTTTGTACCAGCCAAAGGCCTGAACGATGACAAAACCAGTGTCACAAAAGCAGGCATAAAACAATGCAGTGCACAGACCATGTGCGGCAGGTGGCAACCTGGTCAGAAAAGCTCTCAGCTTTGTAGAGCATTTAAAGACAGGACTGAAGGGAGGACATTTTAGGAGGCAAATCACTCCCATAGACCGCAATTCAGTGAGGATGAGTGCAAAAACATGCAAATGGCCAGGTCCTTCAGCCCATGCTGTTTATCCTGTGGCCAGCTAGCTGCCCCCGGCTGGCCCCCTTCGCCACTGAAGTTAGCATAGTGCTAGCAGGACTGCAGTTCTTGCTCCAGGAATGCATCCAACCCTCCTTTAAAGCCGCCCAGATCGGTGGCCAGCGCTGCCTCTCCTGGTGGGGACTTGGTGAACTTAAGAAGAGCCCTGAGGGTGGATCAGGCCAGTATGTGGGTCCCACAGTGGCCAACCAGCTGGCCAGGGGAACTCGCACGCAGGCAGGACTACTGTGCACACCCAATGCTTGGTGCCTGCAGTCCAGCTTGACTGTTGGGGTGGGGAGAATGGGGTAGTGCACCCTGGAAAGAAGAGGATGTGGCTGACTGGAAGGCACTCTGAGCATGCACTCTCTGGATGGCAAAGGCCGCTTCATACCATTCATTCATAATATCTCCATGCTGCTAGATAGCCAGAGTGCTCGGGGTAGTTCTCACTGGAAATACAGACAAAAATGCAGACGGAACAGAAACAATCTGGGGCTGGCCTTCCAACTTGGAAGTGTATGATGACAAGTTCCATCATCCTCATCCAGTGTAAGTTCAGAAGGTGCTATCTGCAAGGCAACAGGGCTGGGAATGCCAGCGTTGGGTGCCAAAGGAACTTTCCTTCTGCTCTTAATAAAAACTAGTCATCCAGTGAAAGGCAGTACAGGTTGAGAAACGAAGCAGCTGATACATAAATGCTCTGCACGCTTCCTTATTTACGGGTAGAAGACAAAAACGGAGAAAAGCATAGGCAAAACAGACCTTAATTTATTCAAGGTTTCAAATTATTTGAGACATCCACTAATGAGTGTGAAGCTTATAAAGGAAAAGGCAATGAGCACACAGTAAAGTTTTAAAACCTTTATTATTAGAAATAATGCATTCAATTTGTCTTCTCAAAGACCAGCAAATACAGGCTTATGACGAAGTGCCCGCCCCCGAGACTAACTCCGCGCCCTTCCCGACCCAGTGTCCTCCAGATGCGCTTCTCTTGTCCAGCACCTCAGGAAAGCACCAGGTTGGGGAAGGTGACTGTAAGTGGGCAGATGGAAAAGCGACAAAGACCCTGCACGGTTGCCGAGCAACAGTTGTAGCAGCTCAGGACTTGGGGATCAGAGAGCTAGCCCTTTACCCACTCGGCATTAATGGAAAACAGAACTAAACAGCCCTCCACAGTGTAGGGAGCGAGTCTCACTTGCCATGACAGATGACGGCTCTTCTCCCGCGCCCCAAGGGCAGAGTTGGCACCTTTCCTAGGACGTCAAGAGACAAGCCGGCTGAGTTGAAATAACCACTTCCATCAGCAGCGGGTGGGCAGCCGCTTGCAGGCCAGCTGCAGCCGACACCATCACCCCAACTCCGGATGATAACCTTGTTTAGGGCGGCGTGCGCCATCCTTGGCAGATGAAGGACTGACTGCTGCACCAAGGGGTTTAGCACGCAGGCGCATGCCGGCAGCAAAAGGAGGCAGCCTCTCTCTCGCTCCAAAGCGAGCTGCTCGCACTGCAGGGGTCAGGAATGGAGGCCGACGGCTCACCTGCCCATCACGTACGGCAACAGGAAGAGTTCCGTACAATGGCCCCTCGGGGCCCAGCATCGGGAGGGAGCTGCAGACTGTCCTGTTCCTGGAACCGTTACAAACATTGTGACAGGGAAAAAGGGTCAGCGTTTTTCTGCCTGGAAAGCGGTGGCCTGCGATCGGCTGAGCATCCTACCCTACTTTCACTAAAGGGCGCTCTGTTCCCATCAAGTGCTCTATTTACCTGCAGCAAAATAAGGTTGCTGGTGGGCTGGGCCAACTACCGCTTATTTTTAGCCTGACAAAAGAGCAGAACTAGCAGGGTGAGGGGGGAAATTACCTGTGTGAAGGCTGCAAATGCGTGTGCGAGGGATGGGAAAGACACCTGTTGGTAAAACTGTACAAAACTCGTTTGCGGATTCACCGGGCAAGTAAAACTGTTAGGAATGTGAAAGCCCTAAACCTGCCTTCACAGGAAGATTAGAACAAGCAGCTTTTCTGGTAGCAGGCCTAGTGCATTTTTCTCTTCTTTGGCCCAAGGTGGCGTTTCCTTTGCTTGTAGAGATGACGGAAATTCACAAACGGCCCTGAAGAAAGGAGGAAAGCACCTTAATTCCCACGGCAAGCAATTAGACAAAAATCACAGAGCACTGAAGCTTTAATTCTGCACTTCTTCGACTCCTGTTGCCTTGGGGTGGCCCACCACCTGAAAACTCGGGGAGTGCCTGGCAACAAGAGGCTTAACACATGAGGAAATCCTCCCCCCTTGCCCGGCCTTGTAGGTAGTGGCCCCTTTCTCAGACGATTCCTTTCAACAACTGTTGTGCAGGCTGCCTGCTTCTCTGCAACGTTTGTGTTTTGGTCCTGGTGCCCTTCCTGCCCCTAGAAACTAAGACTGGGAAGGGAATGCATCTGGGCCTCAAGGAACACTATTGTTACAGGATGATGATGGGGTTGGTGATGTCATCTCGAAGCAACTTCCACACAAATACAGAAATTCTAAATTGTATTACAAAACTCCATAAATCAATAAAGCCCATAATCAGCACAATGCAATAGATAAAATCAAACACCACAGAAACCTAATTTAAAAGCCAGAACAATACAAAAGGGTCCATCCACAAGCAAACAAAATCTCCCCAGCTGAGAACAAACACCACAAAATCAGCCCACAGCAATCAGACCGTAACGAGCCTGAATGGCCAGGAAAATTAAGTACAGGCACCCAAATGATGAGTGCCACACCAGCTGCGCTTGGCTGGGGAGTGCGACCGAGAAACGTGGGGCTGTCATAAAGACAGGCCTGCTCCTGAGCGGGCGCCCTTGCAGCTTCTCAGAGAGGGCAAACCCAAAGGTGGTCAGTCCTCACTCCTCCTGTGCTGGCCCTGCCTGGAAAAGGAGGCAGGCTGGCGAGCTGAGGAAGAGGCTTCCTCCCGAGAGTCAACTCTGCAATCTCCTTTCTGCGGGCCAGTAACCCCAACAGCACGCAGAATTGCAGCTCGCAGATGACAGATGTGTGTAAGTCACGCAGCTGCGGTCGAAGACGGCTTCCAATGCAGAACCAACCATCTTCTACTCCTTTCTGAATTCCAGATGCCTTGGAAGTTAAGTCTTTTTAAAAAGACAAAGAATCAGGAAAGAATAATTTAAAACTCACCTAGGAATAAGAACACCAGATAGAGCTGGAGAAAAATGGAAAACGGAATGGTGATGTTCAGCGGACTGGGCAGCACAAAGCTGAACCTCCCGGTATTGCTAAAGATCGGCATTGCCTGAATCACAGACACGGCTGAAAAAAAGAAGAAAATTGGTCAAGGGGTCATAGAATCCTAGATTAGTACAGAAGCGGCCAGAGGGCCATCGGGTCCAGCCCCCTGCTGGTGCAGGACTCCAGGTTACACCAGCCCACCCAGACGGCTGTCCACACGCTTTCTGAACGTCTCTGGTGAGGGAAAGTCCACAGCCTCCCCAGGTAAGAGGCATCACCGTCATTCCTCCTGGTGCCTAGTCTAAATATGGTTTCTGTTCACTTAAACCCCGTGATCCAGCTCTGCTATTCTAGGATTCTAGGACCTGCACTCCGGGATGAGTGGGAAGAGACCCTGGCCTTCCTCTCCGGGACAGGCTTTGAGGTACTTGCAGCAAGCCATCCTCTCACCCTCCAGCTGGGGAAAGCCGTACCTCTGCTTTCTGCTGGCAGAAGTTGCCAGCAACACATTAGGAATCTCTGGAAGGAGCCGTCTTTGGCAGAATTAGTCTTCCAACAGATAGCGGGGAAGCTCAAGTTCCCCCTGAGGAGTGCCATCGTGCCTCCTTGAAACACTGGCACTTTGCTTTCCAGAAGTTGCATCCCCATCTTTTCCTTGATTGGGTGGCCAGTAATAGGCTCCAGCTGCTAGACTTCTTTCATTCCTTGTTCTGTTCATAGTAATCCAAATGCTCTCGATGGGATTACTGGTCTCTTCTTCCTGTATTTCTTTGCAGAGATATGTATCTTTTACATACATATCCCACCTTTACACGTGCATAAAGTGCAGCCTGGCCTCCTTTTCTGTTCCTATTCTTTTTGAACAGTTTAGATCCTGCAATTTTTGAATTCCATTCATGGGAGTGATCCCACCAAATTTCATGTATACCTCTCAGATCGTATTTGTCCTTGTGTGTTAAGAGCTGAAGTCCATGTTGTTTGTTTCCCATATTCTGGGCATTTGTGTACAGACATCAAAGGCTACGTGAAGAATACCCTGGCTTTCTTCCCACATATTTGGAGGGATTATTGCTAGGCCCTGCTAGAGCTGCTTTCTCTGTTCGGTGGATAATCCTTCGTCAGTTGACATTATGTCCAGATGTATGTCTCCCTCCCCTGTAGGATTTCTGATAAAGCCCTTCTGAGAAACATCTTCACACTGTGGCCAAACATACTTTTCCAGTTCCTGTAAGGTGCAGCCTATCCCTGGGCAAGACCAAAGACCCAGGGAGCACCTGTGCAGAATTAGTGATCCCCTCGTTCCTCTCTGGCAACAAGGAGAGCACATGCAAGCCTGGTTACGGGGCTGCTTTTCCCGAGCCAGGAACCGGTCCTCTCTCTCCATACCTTCGGCTAGGATTCCCAGCGGGTAGAGGGGAATCCAGACCGTGTATCGAAGCCAGGTCAGGATCCTCCACTCCACATCGATGCAGGAGAGCATGTAGAAGGGATACCTAAAGCAGAAGCCGCAGAAGTCAGTGAGGCACTGGCTAACAGCAGGAAGGAAACGATTTAGGCCCTTCCTGGGCTCGACCGTTCTCTGACACTGTAAAACACACAATTCTGCTTTGCCTCCTGGCTCCCTGAAAGGGATGCCTCCTACTGGGGATGGAAATAGCAAGCACGGTTGTCACAAGGACCCCTCCACGAGGGTGCTTACAGGAGCACTGGGAAGACCTGCCCATCTCATCGGACCTGACGGCCCTTTGCTCAATTAGGAGCATTGGGGGTGAGGGCCATGCAAATGCAGGGCTTTCTCACAGTTGCTGAGGAAAGCAAGCCTGCATGAAGGCTGGGCTTTGAGGAAGGCTCCGAAGGTGGAAGAGGAGGCCCCTTCTGGCTCTCTGGGAAGAACGCTGCTGGACTCGACCACAGGGCCATCCAGTCCAGCACTCTGTTGACACAGGAAGCCCCCACAGGCGTTCCACGCCACCCCCACGTTCCGCAGCAACTGCTGTGCGCCCTCTTCTGGCATTGACGGCCGCCTGTGGTTGCCGGACTCCGGCAGCAGAATGAGCAGAGCAGCTTAAGAAGTGTCAGGGACCAGGTGAAAGACGCACACCGTCCCTCCAGTACCTGAATATCTCAATCATGCTCCAAATGTAGAAGATGAAGAATACGACCGCCTTGCCTTGCATTTCTTCCACACCGCCCAGGACGGCGAACAAAATGAAATTCCTCCCACAGACCTGCATGGAGGGCAGAAAGAGAGGCGTCCCACGGTTAGGCTGTTCCGGGGAAACCTGCAAGGGCTTCAGAGGCAGAGGGCCGGGGTGAGGCAGGAATGTGTCCAGTGGGCTCTCTGCCACGGGACCAGGCTCTCCAGAGCAAGCCACTTCATTTTAGCAAGCCTGGTTGCACTCCCTCTTCCTGCCAGAGCTGAACTGGAGTTGCTGCACAGATGAAAGAGGAGGCGGGTGCCCTACGCAGCCCCTGCTCTGCTAAAACGCCGTTTCCCGAGATGAGCCACCACCACGCCACCAGAGCCCTGGCTTGTGCCAGTGTCACCCATGTGCCCTCCCCGCTCTTCCCCGGGGGGCCTCAGGTTACCAGCGAAGCACAGGCGATGGCCTCTTCCTCTCCCGGAAGGAACGCTGTGGCAGTTCCTGTCCGTGTGTGGCTGGAGTGCCGTCCGTGCACTCCGAGGTCAGATTCGATTTTGGAGGTGCTCTCAGGGACACATTCCCTTGGTGGGCGAGGGCAAAGGGGTCGAGAGAAGAGCCCAAACGTGCCCTGTATTGGAGCTGAACCTTCTCCCTGCTGCTGATGAAGCATTCTGTCTTCAGAGTGGGGAGAAAAGCATCCAAGCTGGGAAAACTCTGAGGAATCGGTGGTTGGAGGGAAAGGGGGCACCGCCTGCTGGGGAACCCCAGGAGGATGGACTGGGGTGTCGGGAGGCCAGATCTGACCCAAGGGTTCCCCATCCCCTTTTGGCATTGTCTTGCAAAATGTTCCTTGTGACACACACACACACACACACACACACAGGGACACCAGTGTTCCCACTATGGGAAGTCTGTCTTCTGGAACAACAGACATGGCTTTTGGAGGCTCACTGGCAAATAGGTTTTGCAAAAGGTCCTCCAACCATCCCCTGGCGCAGCTCCCGATCTCAGAAACGTCCTTCTCCAAAGCCTGCTGCTCATCCCACTCTCACAATCTAGTCCTCCCCAGATGAAATACAAGCAAGGGACCCCTCCTCTCACATGACCAGCAAGAGCCCTTTGCCCTATTAAGACCCTCAGCGTGAGGCTGGATCCCAAGCCAGGCCACAGGTGGATGAGAACCAGTGAGCGGCTGGGACAGATCACCGGGAGGCCCACAGTGAGCCTTGCGGGTTTCGCTTCCCACGAAGGCGCGCCTGTGGCCTGCCACACATCTGGGCTCCAGTCAGGGGTGAAACCCTTCAGTCCTTGTCAGGTTCAGACGATGGTGCCCACGAAAGCAGAAGACATTAGCCTGGGCATCTTCAAGAGAGAGATTACCTGGAGGACGACGGGAGCCAGAGGAGCTCTGACGAGCCCCGTCAAGGTGTTCATGATTTCCATGAATGCCAGCATTTGGCAGAAGCAGATCATGTCAGCCACCGTGTGAAACGTGTCAAAGAAAGATTCTGCAAGAAGAGGCAAGAGTTCGAGCATCTGTTCAGCAGTGGGTAGATAAGGGCCTGGCTCCAAAAACCCGAACCTCTGGAATGAAGTTTCTCAAACTGCAGCTGCACCCAGCCATGTGACAAATCATGTTTTAAGAATGAGGACTTTCAGAAGCTAGCATGGGCAGGAGGACAAGCTTCTACTGTTCAGCAAATACAGCACAAAACTTAAGAACCCTGCTGGCTGTGCCTTGGAAGACGCTCTGCAGCCATTCCAAAAAGATCAGATGCGTTGAGGGCAGGGAATGCACACCAAAGAAGCAGCTGCAGCAAGGCAGGCCTTCTGCCTGGTCTGCTGCCCTCACTGAGCCTCTGATCAAGCCAGTTTCTAGCCTGCCACGGCCAACTTGTAAGTAAGCTTTATGTACTTTACCATGTTAAGAATACTTTCACCATATGTGCCCAGGACTTTTCCTGCCCATTTGTGCACAGGACATATGTCCCTATCATGGCACTGCATTACAGAACTGCCCGACAATTTCTGTGCCGGGGCCAGATTAAATCATCTCTGAGATACTGTAGTTGTGGAAGGGATACCTGCAGCTCCTCTTATAAGTTTCATGCAACGTTTACAGGCACGAGGGACACGGAATACAGGGAAGCAACACTCAAAACCTCCCAATCCAGTCCCAGAAAGCTGCGGCATGCTGCCGTTGTCACACCCACAAGGTCCATTCCTCATACCAGAGATCCTCTTGGCTACAGACGTGGGAGACTGCGGCCAGGCCTTCTTGCACGCAAGGCCTGCGTTCTGCCACCCAGCTGAGGCTCTGCTCTCGCACTGGCCTGCCTCCCTGAATTCGATTCTAGGCATTCTGGCAACAGAACATCGGCTGGTGGAGCAAAAGGGCAAGTGCAAGCACCACTGACCTTTCCCCAGCACGAGCAGCCGAACCGTCATGTTCACCAAGATCCAGGAGAAGCCCAGGAACTGCACAAGGTTGTACACGAACAGGTACCCTCTCTTCAAGTGGCGGAAAGCTGAAGGCATTGCAGAGCAGAGGGTGAGTGCTGGAAAGGTGTTCCTGACTCTAGAAAAAGCGCCCCGAGTGAAGGCGAGGCGGGGTGTCCGACTGCCCTGGCAAAGGCCAAGCGCTGAGAAGGCGGCATGGTCTGGCCCCCAGGGACTGCAATAACATACTCGCACTGCATCGGCATATTCTCACATGCGGCATGGCCAGGTAACCCAAGGCTTGAACATACGGCTCTGCACCGCAGGTCGTGTCCGCCGTGGCTCACTCTGGTATGAATGAAGCATCAGCAGCTCTTACTCAGCTGCCATGTCATTGGGCTAGAACTTGCTCAGAGAATTCTTGGGCGGTGGCTGGACGGGGCCTAAGCCCTAAAAGGCAGGAATGGTGGGATTCAGCAGCACCGCAACCCGCACTGCGTGTGCTACGAACGGCATAACTGTTGGCTCATGCAAAACTCATCCCTGCTGGGTGCAGGATTACCGCCTGAAGCAGAAATTGTGGCCACTTACGGTCTTTGGGGATCCTGCTCTCTATGCTGATTTTGTTAATCTTTTCTTCCTCCTGGAAATAAGGAAGAGGGTTTTTTAATAGGGTTACTGCCGTTTGGAAAGGGCCACTCATTTTCAGAACACGCCACTGCAAAATCCTGACCACACCTGATGTAAGCGGAACGAGGCACCAGCAATGTGCCATGGAATCCTGGTTTCCCTTTGCAAATCCTCCTTTCCTCCAATCTGCCAGGGACGCTTACTGTGCTTTCTTGCTGTGTCTTTTTAAAAAAGACAACCCCACACATAACTGCTGTTTTCTGTTTGCAACTGCATCACCAAGTTACAACAGCGCCTTTTTTCAAGAAAACCTGCCTTTTTGTTTACTTCTTTCCTTAACGGACAAGAGAAATGCATTCAGCCAGCAGAAACACTTTTCAAAATATATCAATGTAAACATATTGAGCACGACTGGGTAAATTAAATATCAGAAAATATATATGGTTATACATCATCTTGAATATCCACATCCATCAAATCTACTTATATGTAAATCGCACCACAAAATATAAGCCCGGGGTGAGGTGACCATCACATGATGCGGAATGAATGAATGAATGTCGAAGGCTTTGCTCTTCTGCTCCCGTTGTGACTTGGGTGTTTGTTCCTAATACACAACTGCGATCAAGCGTTCTGCACATGGAGTCAGCGACTTGGCTGGAAACTTAACTTCCTATTGAGCCAGAATTACATATGCAATCTCCCCCCCCCCACCACTCCCTCTCTCCCTCCCTCTCTCCACGTGTGGCCGAGGGGTGTCCAAGTCCAGCCATGCATCTGACTGGTGCCACTGGCTGGGTTTTACCTTGGCTTTGAGCTCCATCTCAGCATCTGATTCATCCAGCCAACGATCAAAATCAGGCGTGAGGAAGACAGGCCGCTTCTCCTGCTTGGTTAGCCGTTCCCACCAGTGGCTGGCCTCCTTCTTCACAGTGATGTTCAGCTGCCTCTGGGTCATTTTGTAGGCCGGCTGCAATCAGAGAGCCCGATGAGAAGCCAGAAGCTCATTTTAAGGGAAAACTGGAAACTAAAACCCACGTGTGCAAAATGCACAATCCCACATTATTACTTTAGCCCTGTAAATCCATCCACGTCAAGTTACTATCGCACAGCGTTTTATTTCTGAAAGTCAGCTTGGCCATTCAGGAATGTTGGTGACACATCCAGCAGAGAGTGCAAGAGAACTTTGCCTTTCGTGGTGGTAAGTTTTCAGAAATTACTGCCTATTTTGACCATGCTGATTCTTACATTAGAAAACTTGCTACTTTCGAAATGGTGTCCACCAGGACAAAAGAACAAACCCAATTCAGCCTCCATGAGAGCCAGGACATTACTTTGTGTCCAAGCATATGGTTTGGGCTGTGAAAGACTTTACACGTTCAGTAACCCTGAAATATTGAAAGTAAGCATAAGCACTCTTCAATGTAACACAACAATCATGCATTAAAAAGAATGGGGATGCTGCCAGAATCAGAGAAAGCAAGCAAAAGAAATGCTGAAAGAAAATCATTCAAGAATAAGAGAAATAACACTTTTGCACCTGGAGATACAGGATGTGACAAAGGTCTGTTGGTACCATCTGCAAAAAGATGACTGTACAAAGTCCTGGCTGCCAAACTCTTGCTTATCTGTGGCACAGTTAAGGCTTCAGAGACCCCCTCCTTGTGCAGTTCCTTGACTCATGAAGGGTTCCATCGTAATCACGAGTTTGGAGGAAATTTTGCAATCATGATACCTTTCTACATATACATCTACAGCACTTGCATGCCCTTCTGAGCATCTGCTCAACATCACTGTTCTATGTATTCACTTTTATTCCCTTGTCATAAAATAGGGCTTATTCTGCCCACAGCACTCCTTACAGCTCCTTTCAAAGCTCAGGATTTCTTCCTAAAATCAAGAGAGCTCTGCTCCAAAATTAGCAGAAATGCAGCCATTATTGACAGTACATTTTCAAATTACTACAGCAAACAGACACAGTAATGCCTTTTAATGCTAATTCACCAATGTGTGTTCTGTTCAACCACAATATTTCATCATGTATTTTGGAGGAAACATGACATTTTAGGTTGCTGAGTTTCTGAAAACTGCAAACAGCCCTTCAGTCAGCAAGTTTCCATTATGTTCAGCATTCACTTGTGCCTATTTAGGAATCATCTTCAGATTCAAATTCCTTATATTTTGAAAATTAAAGTTGACATAGAAGCATTCTCTTCTAAATCTGGTGCATCAAAACAAGCCCTTAATAAAAATCCAAAGTAGAGTACAGCACATTTTATGGACAAAAGAATGACCACAAATCTTATGAGAAATGTGGCATTAAACTATATTTCCGGAAGAGTATTTCACTTTTCCGAACAACAGGAATTGTCTTTTTGTCTAATGCATTTTTAAAAATGTGATACATATTAGCACCTGCACAACTTCAGCTAAATCTTTGATTACAGTGTCATGTATTAAATTGTTGATTGGCGTGAAACATCCCAATTGCTCATCAAGGGACACACTGATCTGCCACAGGTAACCAGTTGAGTGGCCATGTATAAGCAGCAAAAAGATTCCCCTTGACACCCCTCCAGCCACATTTTCATGTTCACAATTCAGCTGGCTCTTTCACTAATGCCTGCTGAGTGCATTGGGTGTGTGAGGAGAGGGGGTGGCTGCACAGAACTGGATGAAAAACTATTTGGGCTGCATGATACCAATTTCTGAAATGGGAAGCCTGACATTCCTGCAAATGGCACATGGAATATCATCAGGGTTTTGACCACTTGGCCTAGAAAATAGAACTGCTTCAGCTTCTAATGGAGCTCTGGAGTTTCTAATTTCTAGTAGCTGTGGCAAAAGATAATGAAGAGCCAGAGACGCAAAGACTCCCTGTGAAGGAGCAGGGCAAACAGAGCTAAGACATGGAGCCGTGTATCCAACACATAGCCAGCTGAGGGGAATTTTCTAGGACAAGAAAGATCAAGTGAGCAAGGATGTCATCATGTAGGTCAACCAGTCTTGCTTAAGGCCAGGTGGCAGCTAACACAAGCTCCACACTGGATGTTGGCTCGACTAACCAGAATTTCTAGCAAGGATGTGATAACGGTTGAGCAACCCAGCACAACTGTCATCGTCTACATAACTGCTTGGCACACACCACTCCCTTCTAAGACCGAGTGCTCAGTGTCTAAGCATTAGCAGGAGCTCTGAGAAATAAGAACATGCAAGGGACACCCCCGGTGCCCTCTGCCACCGTTTCCAGAAATGCAAAAAGAAAAAAATCTCTAAGGAAGCAAAGGGGGGGAAATATCAAAACTCTGCTCAAAGAAGGCTTGGGCCATGCTCACAAATGCAGATGCTGATGCTCAGCTGGAAAAGAAAGCCTGGAGCCCAGGCTGGAACACTTCTGGGAGAGGATATTTTGCAACCTTTTGGGGCAAATTCTGCTTACTCCTTCTAAGGACCCAGGCTCCACATAAGTACAGACCAAAGAAAGAAATCCCCCTCCCCAATGATAACTAAGCCTGTTCCCATGTTCCACGAAATGCTGAGTGCCAGCATTTTTCCCCTTGAGAAAGAGTGAGGATATACTCCAACATTTCGCTACAGGCACTGCTTGATAAGAAAGCCTAAATCAGTTAACATTTTACAATCCATGCATACCAAGTCAAGCAATTCAGACCTTGCATTCCACATTGCAAGCAAGACGCACAGCCCTTTCTCCTGCTAAATCCTTGGAGCTATGAGAAACGAGAAGCGTTACTTGGATGCTTTCAAAAGACAAGCAGCAAACAGTTGGTGCTTCCCCACAACAAGTAACCAGGCATTGCTTGTGATGGCTCTGGCTTACGAGAAAAGCATGCACAAGAATGCAGGGATATTTCCCCGCTCCAGAAAGGGTCACACTACACTACACACTGTTGTACAAAGGCAACAGTGAAAACAGTGCTCATCTTTGTCTCCTGGCTTCAATGTGTAAATACTTGGTGGTGCCGCCACAGCAAGCACCACCCGTTCATCAATTCCTGGTTTGCTGTTCCATGCAAATCTCACCATGGTTTAGTTATGGGGTTGTTAACCACAAACAACCCAGAGTTTTCCTCTTAGGTACTCCAGCTTAACATCACAGGGTTTGCAACAGAGACCCCACAACATCCCATTCAAGTCCGGGCTGTCATTCCCTATGAACCAAACCTTTGGCTTCTGTAAACACATATGGATTACTTAGGCTATATGCATCCATAGGTTAGAAATATACCATATGCCCCTTGCTGAGCAAATCATAGACCGACTCAACTCCAAAAGTAAAGTGAGGGGCATCCTTTAAAATGTGTTTTTTTGAAATCTGCAATTGTAAACTAGCTGCAGAAGTAACAGAAACTCTTACCTGTGGCTTCACTGGTTCTAAGAACTCAATTTGAAATTTGTACACATTGTCCCCCTTGGCGCCATGGCCTTGAGCTAGAAAAACAGAAACAGGCATTCCCTTTTCAGAAAACTAAGAAATAATCATAAGATTGCCTTCCCCTAATGACACACGGGCTGCTTCTCTGGCGTTACAAGTGAATTTGTCAAAATGCTGCTCTTAGCATTATTATTTTTGACAGAAGTCCATGCAGCATGCAAACAAGAACAGAAGTTGGAGCAACGTAAAGAGAGGCACTAGAAGCCACGTCAGATCCCGGGCAACCTCAGACAGAGCGATTAATCCCAGAATTTGTGCAAATGAAGGCAAGGAACCCAAAGCCTATCAGTCTAGTCATGAGCCTAAATGTGGAAGAGTCACTGAATTTAAGTCAAGAAATACACGAACTCATCGGACGTTTTGGGGCAAGTTGTGCCCAACATCATCCCTAAAGTGCAATGTGGCAGCTTACGCCCGTAACGCGAGTCCTTGGGCCAGAAACGGACAATTCGGGATGCTCCAGAGGTTGCGGACCAGCTCCCACAATTCCATGCTGGCGGGGCTGCTGGGAGTGGCAGTCCAAAACATCTGCAGGAAGCTTACCTCATCCTGCCTTAAACACAAGGCTCAGTCATAGTGGGGGTTTCTGTTGAAAGCAAGTCAAGTGTTTTGCATGGGAATCCATTTCCCTTTCAAACTAAATGTTTGCTCCTGTTCTAAAATCCCACAGTTGCTGCACAGGGTGTGTTGGAGAAGGCAGAATGCTACAATGAGGGCCTTTTATGGTCAGCTGAACTGATTAGGCAAATAAGGAAATTTCCCTACTCCATTTAAATGAGGTGCTATGCTACATCTGGGTGAAAGTAGGGCACCAGCATTGGAACGGTAGACTCTAAGGCTCCTCAACCTTTTAAATATTTTATTCATTTATTTAGGAGCTCCTCTTATGTCAAGAGCCAAAAGGAATGCGAGCACAGAAGTTCTCTACCCCAAAGAGCCCGTAAAGCAATGTAAACCGAAATATCTCTGACAGGTGGCTTCTGGCCTCGGCAAAGCACTTCCAGAGGGAGGGATCCCACCCCTTCCCAAAGCAGCCTCCTCCGCCAGCAAGTGGCCTGGACACCCCATCAGAGCGCTGCTCCGCCAAATCCCGAACCGCTGGGACCCGCCTCCGGCAACACTCTCCAAGGCTGCATGCAGGCTCTTCCCCAGCCATATCTGGAAGTGCGAAAGGCAGCCTGGGGTCTTTGGCACACACGGCTGGTGCCCCACCAGGAAGCCACGGCCCTTAGGAAAGCTGCCCTGTGGCGACTGCAGGCAAAGCCACCGGCTGCCTGGAAACAGAGGCACAGGGTGTTTGCAGCCCGGCCTGCATGACCCGAGGATAACGCGGTTTAAGTCAGCAAACATAATCAGCCAACTACACGTTCCACCTTCTCGAAGACAACACTGAAAATGGACCAACCTTTGAAATGGAGCACATTGTCCGTAATTGTGATGTTGGGGTCCTGTAGACAAAGAGAAAAGAGACTGGTTGGAGCTAGGAAGAGTTTGATTTGCTCTTAATGACCCCCGATGGCCTTGTTGACCAGTTCAGTGGCATATACATTTTACAGATAAAAGACAAACTATTAGTACCTGTTTAAATAGAAACATAGAAACTGGGCGAGCCAGAAGGGGCCTCCCAGGCCATCTAGTCTGACCCCCGGCTCCAGCCAGCTCTGCTCACGACATGCCCACCATGTGCATGTCTAGCCTATCCTTGAACGCCCTCACCTTGAACGCCTTCAGCCACCTCCCATGGAAGCCCATTCCACACCCTCGGGGTCCTAACTGCCAGGAAGCACTTCCCGGCATCCAAATTGAACCTTGGTTCCGAGCTTGGCTCCACTGGAATGCATCCTGCCCTCCTCTGCAGGGAACAGGTCTCTACTGAGGGAAGCAGGATGCTGCTGTGGAAATCGGTCCTGAACACTTTCAGCCAACACTATGACAGGTGGGCAGACTTCAACTCCCAGAAGCCCTTTCCAACATGACCAAGGTTCAGGAATTTCTTCTTGATGGAGCGTATACTTAAATTATGGGATTTACTGTTGTGGGAAGAGGTGAGGGCCACCAATTTGGATGATTTTACAAGGGGGTTGGCCAGATGCATGTGGGAGGAGGCCATCAGTGGCTACTAGTCTTACCGGCTGGGGCTCCCTCCTTGACCAGAGGTGCCCTGCCTGCACGCACCAGTTGCCGAGGAGCCGGGCAGGAGGAGGTCTTGCACTCCTCCTGCTGGAGGGATCCTGTGGGCAGCTGGCCTGCCACTGTGTGTGCAGAGTGCTGGAACAGATGGACCTTGGGCCTGATCCAGCAGGTTCTTAGGTGACGTCAACCAGATCTGGAGATCCACTTCCTCTCCATTCCAGAGTTATGGCATGGAACTAGAGGAGCTTGGTAGTGTCCAAACTGGCTGCAGGATTCTGATCTCCCTTCCTGGTCTCAGGAAACAGCCATTTCCTGCAGTCTGAGCACTGCCACAGAAGGGGTGCTGGGACTTGCAAGCAGGGTGGCCATTTGGAGAGTGGCAAGATCTGTGGCCCGCCACATCCCCAGTCCTTTGCAGAGCAGTGATCTGGAGAAACAAGTTGCTGACAAGAGCTGCAGTTCATCCATCAGCACAAGGCCTGCAGGAACTGCCAGGAGTGGAAACACACAAGAGCAGGGGCCCCCCAGCAATCACATTTTAATCAGGTGCTTATCTGATTGTACTTTAATCCGCTCCTCACCATGGTGGGGCCCTTGCACAAAAACGCTGCAGGCCAATTAATTTTAGCAGCAAGGCCAGACCCTCCATGAGCAAACGTGTTCAAAGCACTGCCACCCCTTCCCTCACATTAAGTCGACAACCCAGAGCAAGAAGCAACAAGCAAGGAAAGGGAAGGAAGAGGAAATACATGAACATTCAACAGGGCAGGCGATCTGAACGGCCCTGCTTATACTCTCCTCTCCAGGGAGGGAGGGAGGCACTCGGGTACTCCCCATGCTTCCTCTAGTCTCCGCGGCTGTAAGGGCCAACGGAATGAGGCAGCAAAAGGCTGGTGCACGACACGTGCGGAAGCGGCCCTGCGGGAGCACCAACGCTCCCCGGACAGGCAGCGCATCAGGCCCCCACCGAAGCGCACACGGGGTAAGGCCGCTGCAGCGGCAGCCCAGACCATCTGGAGGGGGCTCCACGGTGGGGACGACTGGCTCCTCCCGATTTCCCAGGGAAACCGAGCGGCTCCTTCTCAGCCGGCGCGCCCGCCGGGCCTCCGCCAGCGCAGCAGCGCCGAGAGCCGTCGCGAACCTTCGGAAGGCACTCGGCCGCCCCGCGCCTTCCCGACGAGGCTCCGATAAGCGGGGCCGGGAACCCGCACGCGGACACCCTAACAGCATCAATAACGGGGGCGGGGGGGACCCGACTGCCACGCGAAGGGACGCCGCAGAGCCGCAGCGCACCTGCGGGCGCCTCGGAAGCGGTGCGGCGGGGGCCAAGCCCGTCCCGGGCGGGGAGGGCATGTCGCCGCGCCGGCAGGCGGGGACCTCGGGCGGACGCGCCCATGAGCGCGGGGGGCGCGCCCCCCAGGAGCAGAGCCGCCGCCGCCCCCCGGTGCCGCTGACCTGAACGTCGCTGAGCTCCACGCGCAGGTAGAGCTCGTGGTGGCGCTGCGCCCAGTGCACTTGCGGGGTGAGGCTGGCACCGGGCGCCATCGCTTCCTCGCCGCCGCCGCCGCCTCGCTGCTTTGGGGAGCGCCAGCGCCGGGCCAGCCGCACAGGAGCGCAGGGAAGGTCGGAAGGAGGACGGCGGGGCGGCGCCAGCGCGGCTCGGGAGCGCGCCCGCCGCCTTCCTCCCCGCCGGGGACCGAACTCCGCCTCCCGCCTCCGCGGGAGCCTGGCAGGACGGCGCCACTGCCGGCAGGAAGCGAGGGCAGGCGCCCCCCCCCGCTCTCCCCCAGTGAAAAGGCCGAGTCGGCAGCGCAGAGGGTTGCCCTGATTTGCTGCTTGCAGGGAGGGGTGGAGGGAGAGGCGGCGCCCCCCTGCCTTCTGGAGTGGTCCAGTCCACTGCCGAATCAGGGCTCAGCCTTCCCCGCTTCCTTCTCCAACCGGGGGCCCTTCCCGTATGTTGGACGGCGCCCGGCTCGCAGCCTGGCCCGCCGGCATGGCCCGTGGCGGTGGTGGGATTTGTAGTCCAGCCCGTCTGTAGGGCTGGGGGAGAGGCGCAGAGGGTTCCCCGGCGATCGCGGGTTTTGAACTGCACGCACACGCGCGCGGCACGAGGCGCCGAGCCGGCTCCTGCGCGCGCTCCCGCGGAAGGAAAGCCCACTGGCCCCGTGGCTTTTGCTTCCCGGTAAGCCGCGTGGAGGAGGAGGGTGGCCTTCCCTGCCGCAGCCGCTTCGCGAGGCCAGCGCGACTGGCACGCGGCCTCCGGGCAGCCGCAGGGCAGAGCGCCGCCGCCGCCGCAAGCTGCCCGCGCCGAGGGCGCCGCGCGACGCTGCAGCGCG